TTTCCCTCATTAACATTGTAGTTTAATCTTTCTATGGACTAGAGCTATAACTTCAAGGTAATCTGGCTATTTTTGATTCTGTAAGTGCTTTCAACTAACCATTTTGTCTGATAAACTTCTGAATGATTTCTTCTTACTCTTCTTAAGATATTCAAAGTAAATATTTGTAAAATACTTAAATAAAATAAGAAATTCTTGTACCTAAGGGTAATAAGAACTTGTACCCAAAGCCTGGTGTTTACACAGTGTCTTCATCTGTATCCTACTATGGTTGCCATTTTGTCTCTAGCTAGAAACTTCACTTTAAAAATAAAAGGAATCCAGAATAGAGTTACCCACTCTGAAAAGGTAAATCTTTAGTTTTAAAAATTCTTTTCAGAAGGGCTCTTTACAATTAGACTCTCTCTCAAACTAACCTAATTTGGCATCAGTAACATTTACAGTTCTGCAATGTACTGTAAATTTCAGATACTTTAAGAAAACCCTCCAAATACTGAGATGTTTATTGCAATGCTTTTTAAAGATACAGATCCTTTCCATGATTTCCAATGTCATGTTCCTGTTCTTTTTGATATCATCCAACATCTTTCTGACATATGATTTTCACATAATATTAAATATGAAAATACCACTTAGAAACAATATTTCAGTAAATAGAGGGTTTAAGGCATGGTCATTCATTTGGAAAAAACTTCTTTCCATATGTTAATCTAGATTGATCATTGTTTTCTACCTCATCAGTGCCTTGGGATGCACAACGTACATTCAGCAAAGGGGCACGCATATGACCCTATGGACATACGTTGTAAGTCCTGAGTGCCCATTGAAATAATGGTAATATTTCATATACAAGGCATGACCCACAGGGACATGACATGGGAGGGATTAATTTGCTTTGCTTCTAGTCTTACCATTGCATGTGATATTCCTAGGTAATGCATTCTTTTCTTACTAAACATCTTTGCAAACAAATACAAACCCTGTTAAAGGTGCTAAAAATGGATTTTGAAAACATACAAAATATATTCATCATAGTATTCCCCAATCATTGTTTCTGTGATGAATATCTGCGGGTTACTTCTTGCTTCTGATTGAAACTATTAGTTGTTGTGGAATAACTGTTCTGTTGGAAAGCATTTTCTTCCTGCTTTAGTTTTTTGGAACATGAGGGTTGCACACTTTCTTGCTCTTTTCTTCCTTTTTGAGTTCTTTTCATTGGAAATAGCAACAACACTAAAATGCAGACAATGTGAAGACAAAAATACCAGCAGCTAGGGGGAAAAAAGAGAGAAAACAAAGTAAAATCTTTCCTCATTATATTTATTATTAAATATGACACTACTGGAAGATAACAAGCTCCATGGTAAAAGTATATTTATCATGAAAAACTTCAGTGTGACATCTCTCAGTATAGACTGCAATGTACATACACAGCTTTGCAAATCACATTGCCACTGGGTGTCTGAGAAGTCTAACACATTTTGGCTTACTTAACAGTATAACCCTTATGCTATACTTCACTTAAAAAAAATTAGATGCCTAAAACCAAAGAATAAGAAAAAAATTGAGCAATGAGAAGAGAAAAAGGGAGTGAATAATGATAACAAAAGACCCCAACATAATCATTTTTGCATTACAGATAAAGCCATATTAAAGGCCTGTGTGCAGCACTGAGGGCACAGGTAGGGCTCCATCTATTATACACGGCACAGAATAACTAAAGCCAGGGATGTCAAATATTTGGCCTGTGAGCTGGAGTCGGCCTGTGGAGCTGTCATCTGACCCAGAATTGCTCCTAGGGGAGCCAGGAATTTGGTGGAAAGACCCACCACTGAAATCTGCAGCACAGAGTCCCATTGGGGATCCTTGTTGGCAATGAGAATGAGCAAAAGCTGCATTAACCTCCACAGCTCCCTGACACCACTTGCCGCACCACAGCCACATCTGGATTTGGCCCCAAGAAGCACTGCAGCTTGGATCCAGCCCATGGGGGCCAGGCAAGTTTGACATCCCTTAATTAATAAGAATACACAGCACTACTGGTAGAGATTTATCCACATGCACCATATATATCCGTATTTAGCACTCTGGCTATATAATATTGTACATACACAATATGGCAAGCTTGAAAGCAGCAAAGGGTTGCCAGTTATGATTGCTGGGGAAAGCTAAAAACAAAACCAACAGAGACTGTTTGGATATGAGCATAACTGCTTACGTGAGCTAATATGCTAATATGCTTTTTAAGTAACTAAGTTTATGTAATAGGACAGGGGCTCTCAAATTTTGTGATACCACGACCCTGAGTGCCGGGTGGCAGTGGTGGGGGACGGGGAGCTCACACACGGCAGCCACTGCTGTCATCCACCAATCTGCGCTGTCACTGTGCGCACTGCTTCCCTGCGCCACCGCATGTACCCCCTGGGAAGTTTGCGGCACCCTTTTAAATTGCTCATGACCCTCCAAGGGGTCACGACCCACAGTTTGAGAACCCCTGTATTAGGAAGATGTTGTGGCGATGCTCAGTGAGGATACTTATTTTCCCTTATTTCTGGGCTTGTGCCTGTGAAAAGTGGGAGTGGCTTGATTCTTGGTAGTGGTCTTAAAGTTTCCACAGAGGTGGTATACTCTTATATGTAATGTATGAAATCTATTAAGAAAGTGAAAAGGTTGGCTTCAGGCCAAATCAAGGTAAGTAAGGACTTGTTCCATGCCAGGAACACAAGTTACTTAGATGCAGAAGCAACTAGAGTTCTTAGAGAGATGTTGTCCATGTGCACATCCTCATTGTGTGTGCATATGCATTACAAACACTCAAGCTCTGAGGCTATTTGCCTTAGCAATGCCTATATAGTATACCCTAGCTTTAATTCTCCTTATGCCCATACTCAGAGTATAGAGAGTAGTTCATATTTCCCATACCTTCTTTTACTAGCCAGCATCAACAATGATTGATTTGGAGGAATCAAGGAAGCTGAGGTGCAGGAGCAAGACATGAGCAGTATGACCTATCATGGATATTAGGTATGGGCTGAAGGTGCCACAGTCAGAATGGCTACATCAGAAAGAAAGATCACAGAGGAACATGCAAGCACAAAGTGAAAGCCATGAGACATGAGGGGTAAGGTTTCAGGCCCAGGCCAGACCTTTAGGAGTAACCAATAAGACAGGGGTGGGCAATAATTTGGGCCTGCAGGCCACATAGGGAGTTTTGCTGAGCTATTGTGGGATGGGTCAGCACCAATCCTTCCTCCCCATGTAACAGCTCACCAAAACTCCTTATGTGGGATGGGGCCACGGGCCAATGTGGAGCGGTGTTCAGGAGCGGGACAGGCAGGCAAGGTCAGGATCATGGGGTGGGGTTGTGGGGTGGTGGAAGCGCAGGGCTGAGACTTGGGGCAGGAGCCATAATCCATGCCTGCAAGCCCCTGCTATGGGACCCTGGCCATGCAGCCCACAGCTGGTCTCCATGGAGACCCTGGGATTGTGGGATGGTGACAGTGCAGGGCCAGGGCCAGTGCAGATCTGCAATCCGCTCCACACATGCCCCAACCCCAGCCCTACACTGTCACTGCCGTGCAATATCAGGGTCTCCATGGATACTGGCTGGGAGCTGTGTGGCCAGGGCGCACAGCTGGGAGCTACATCCAGGGCTAGGACTGGGACCAGGTCCAGGATCTTGGTGCCCTGACAACACAAGGCTGGGGGTGAGCTGTGATCAGTTCCCTGTATGTCCCTGCCTGTGAAACTGGCACCTGTCACAGGGACATGTACGCAGTGGATCATGGCTCTGTCCTGGCCCCACACTGACAGCACCACAAGATCCCAGGGTCTCCCCAGCCCTGACCTCTGTCTCACACCTGGACACTGCTCCCTACCTGCCCATGGCCTCATCCTAGTCACCCAGCCAAGCATGCCCTGCCCATGGGGGTGGGGATGGGGTGACAAATAGATCCAAATCTTCCCCAATTTCTCTGAATCGATTCAGAGGGTTCCAATTCAATTAGGAGAGATTCAAGGGTCCACCGATTTGAATCGGGCCGGATCTCCACCGAATTGAATCAGGAACTAAAGCTTGGGACAGCACTAATATGAACCTTGTCTATTCTTAAGAGGGTTTGCACATGCCTGTGTGCACCTTGTTTCCCAGTAATGATAATCTGAATACATTTTAAGATCAATCATCAGGCCATTTTAGCTATGCTCTCTTTTAAAGGAGAACATATTTATCTATCTTCTCTTGACTGATAATTTGTGACAGTTACTTTATAACTGCTAATAAACACCTGCTCCTGTGGCATTCATGCGGTGCTATGGAGCTATCACTTGTTCTGTTTTGCTTTTCCAAACTGTGAATGACAAACTGCTCAGGAGGCAAAGCAATGACCCAAATGTTACACTTTTATTCACCATTCAAAGGAGATGTCTTGCCACAGAGAATAATCCAACTAGTTTCCAATTAAAGGGATTTAAAAAAAAAAAATTAAAATGTACTTACCTATAAAATGTGAAAGATGGTTTTACAGAAAGCAGCACAAATGGCACAACTGTGTAACTTATTGCTAATTGAGTTGTCATCCATGTTATGATATCGTAGAACAGCTTAACAAGGGAGAAGTCAACAAAGAAGTGTCTAATGTTGTTTCTCATCTTTAAAAAAAAAAAGTAGGTAAAAGACGCATTAGAAACTAAACATTTTTACTGAGAGAAAGTTTTTGTTCTACTACCAAAAAAGTTTTCAGGCAGTTAACAGCTCAGTTTAATCTCCAACCTCTCCTGTTCTCATTTTGCTGACAAGGACAGATGATGGGGACTGTTTCACATACTTTAAAATGAGAGACTCACTACAAGGCAGATTCAATGGCACTCCACAGATCAAGGATCCATAGGTCAAAGGATGCTTTAAATGTGCTGCTGTTTTACAGTCCCTCTGAACCTAATCAAGGATTCACTGGCTGTAGGCACAGTAGGCTTCTATACACTAGCCTTCAGCATAATATCATGTTTATTCTTCCCAACAGTCTTGTTTTACAATAAATGTCAACTAACTTCCTATACACATATATTTATGAATAATATGAAAACAGAATAGAAGAACAGTGCTAAAAGACACCCCTAATGGTCATCTAATCCAACTCCTGCTCAAGGATGGTGTATCCTTTTCAACAATATCCCAGATAAATCTTTGTCTAACCTAGTGGGTCTCAAACTTTTTAGACCTGAGGCACCCCTCATTTGACTGGAGGTGCCCCTCCATAACTTTTGTGAATTGAGCAACACCCCATTTAAAACACTAATGCATTTATTACAGTGCTTACCTCCTTGCAGGGGGGTGGGGCAGCAGCCAGGCAGGGACAACCCCGAGCCTGTGCTCATCTCCTGGCACCTGCTTATCTCCTCCTCTCACATGGCACCCTGACTGAGAATCACTGGTCTAACCAGCACTTAAAACCTTCCAATAACAGAGATCCTACAGTCTGTGGAGGTAATCTGGTCAAGTGCTGAAATTTCCTCATTTAAATCTCACTTGTGTCAATCTAAGCCCATTATCTCTTGACCTATCCTCCCCTAAAACAACTGAGCATGATCCTTGTCATAAGTTTTCAATGCAGAAACATTTTTATCAATTTTCCCCTCAGTCTTCTCGTCCACAAGAAATATTCCTAATTATTTCAACCCTTCTTCATGTCATGTTTTCAAAACCTCTAACCATTTTGCTGCTATCTTTTGGGGTCTCTCTCTATTTTTGCTGCTTCCCAGCTAAGGCCTCAGTATTAGGAAGAAAGGAAGAATCAATTCCTGCGACTTACACACAATACTCCTTATTAAATACATCCCAGAACGGTATTAGTTTTTTTCTGCAATATTACATTGTTGATGCATGTTCAGCTTGTGATCCACTTTAATTTTCCATATAATTTTCTGAAATTACTACATTTATTTCTGCAGTTTCCCTCTTCTCCTCAGCAAACACACACTATTTTTAACCTATAACGTCCCTGAGTTTTAGCCTTGCTACCTGAATAGTGTAAAGTTATTAGCTAGCATCTTGGCTGTGCCAGTAATCTCAGGCTCCCTTGCTCATTAGTCCAATTTCCCTTCAAGTGCCTTTGTGTTTCTGTTGATATAGCTCTTTTTTGCACAATATAAGGTCCTTTTAAGACTCTAGCAGGCCTCTATACCACCATTCTTTAAACGGCTCCTTCAACCCTCAATTCTAGCAAAGAAGCTGTAGAAATATCTCACCAAGCTAAGTGATAATGGCAGATGAGCTTCAATGTCAATAAATACAAGGTAATGTACACCTCAACTACATGCATGCAATGCTGGATTCTAAACTAGCTATTACAACTCGGACCTTGCCATGGAGTCACTGTACATAGTTCTCTAAAAACATCAGCTCAATATGCAGCAGCAGCCAAAAAAAAGCCAATAAAATGTTGGGTCTCATTAAGAAGGGAATTGAAAACAACAGAAAACATCATTGTACTAATACACAAATCCATGACAAGCCCACACCTTCGCTACTGTGTGCAATTCTGGTATCCACATCTCAAAAAGGATGTAGTAGAACTGGAAAAAGTAAAGAGAACGGCAACCAAAAATGATCACGGGAATGGAACAGATCCCATACCAAAAGAGACTAACAAGGCTAAGACTCAAGTTTGGAAAGGTGGTTGAGGTGGGATATGATAGAGGTCTAATAAAATCATGAAGGTGTGGACCAACTGAACAGGGAACTGTTATTCACCAAGACACAGAAAACTAGAACTAGAGGGCACCCACTGACAGTAATAGAAGACGGGTTTAAAACTAATACGAGAAAGTACTTTTTTACGCAGCAAGTAGTTAATTTGTGGAAGTCATTACCACAAGAGGATATAGAGGCAGATCGTATAGCTGGGTTCAAAAAGGGACTACACAAACTCATGGATGACAGATCTATTAACAGCTATTAAAAAGAAAGCTTGATGATATCTCTGACATCTCTAAACCAATAATAGTGAATGCCGGGGAGGAGAATGAACTCTAGATATATCCAGTTCAATGCTCTCCCTCTAAAGGATCCACTCATGCCACTGTTCAAGATAGACTACTGGGCTAGATGGACCATTGATCTGACCTAGGATGACACTTCTTATGTTTTATGTTCCTATGTTCTAATATGTCAATAACTAGATAGTTTAGTGTTCTGAACTTGTGACATATCAAACAATCAGCTTGCTGTAACTTTGTCCCCACTCCAGGCCTCATTTTCTTGTAAGAAATGCATACTGTTTCATTAGGGGGAAAGCAACTTTGTGTGGCTTGTCATTATATGTACTCTATTTAGCAAGAACACAGTGAACTCTTAATCTCTGGAGCTTGTAGGCACCACTGCAATACGAATAAATGCAGCCAGGGTAGTTGTACACATTTTAGTTAAAGATATAGTATTATAAGTTAGATATAAAGCATGCATGTAAATCACTTAATTTATAACCCACCAAGGCAAATCTGCTCTGTACAGTGCATCTAGAGCTTCAAATAGTCCATTTTCTTTGGAAGACTACTTTTCTAGAGTTACAAATTTTGTTGGATTACCACAAGTATGAGGAATGGCAGGATTTCTCTCTCCTCCCTTATAATGTCCACAAAATTCCAGTCAACAAAACTAGCCTGGCTGTTCACCACTCAAACAATCTGGTTGATTAATCAAAGAATAATTAAGGAGTAGGACTGGAAGGGACCTCCAGAGGTCATCTACTCCAAATCCCTCCCAGGATCATTGCTACCCAAACCATCAAAAAAGGAGGGTAGATTTGCACTTTATAGATTAATTTAGCAGAAGCTTTGTGAACCTAAATTCACTTAATCAGATGCTGCCTCTCTCTAGTTAGATAAAGACTTTTGCTCACTTATCTAGTGAAGATGAGATCTACCAGGTTTGGACTGGATTGTCTGGAAGATGGCTAGATTGTACTTGATTAAACAAGCCATTACTGAGCATGTCTACACATGCCATTAATGCTATAAAGGCCAACTGTGCAGTAAAGTACTGTGAAGTAAACCTTCCTGGAGAGCACAGATATTTCCCCAAGCAATCTGGGAACTATCCTTCCTGGGCCAGGTCCCAGCCAGCTCCAGGCTGCAGGAGAATTCAGACCCAAAGCTGGCTGAGAACCATCCTGCTTCTGGGGCAGCTCCCAGCCAGCTCTGGGCTGGGCAGGGAAATCCTTGTGCAGCCTAGAGCTGGCTGGGAGCTGGCCCAGAAGCAGAACACTTCCCTGCCAGCCCTGGGCTGGGTGGGGAAGCAGAGAGTTTGAGTCCTGGTACTGTTCAGCTTCCAGCTCCTGTGGGGAGTTGAGAGGTGAGCAGTGCTGGGGCAGTGGGGGAGCTGAGAGCTACCCCATCCTGGCATTGCTCAGCTCCCAGCTCCTGTCAATACATCCTGAGGAACTGGGACCCGAGTACCGCCAGGACTGGGGGAGTTCCCCTCCCCTCTGGCCCCCTAGAGCTGGGACTGACCAGGAGCAAATTTGCTCCTGGCCAGCATCTACACATGCACTACTGAGCAGTATCTACTACACAGTTAGTTTACTACCTGGATTTACAGGTAGTAGTAGCTAACTGTGCAGTAGACTAATTTACTGCACAGTAAATGTGTGCACATGTAGATGGCGATGCTTTACTGCACAGTAAAGTATCTCATGTAAACACGCCCATTTTCACCAATGGTAGAATTCTGGCAGTGATGTTATTGCCCAGGAGCATAAGTAGGGCAGAGTGAGAAGGGCACCAGATAATATGACCAATGTAAAACAATGGTATAAATTTGTTAGTTTTTGAACATAAGCACCTAAGTGCACTGGTCTCTACATTTCAACTTTTGATTCCCATTTTCCATGCCCAAGCTCAGTGGTTTTCCAACTGTGTTCTGTGGAACCCTGGAGTTCCATGATATGTCATCAAGGGTTCCACAAAGGGAGTGGCAGTAATGGCAGAGTGGGCCAGGAGGTGGTGCACTGCCATTGCAGGCCTAGGTTGCCTGGACCATGTGAGCTGACAATGCCATGGAGCCAGGGGTCGGGGTTCTGCAGCAGAGGAAGTGATATAAAAGTATCCTCAACCTGTAAAAATTGCTGCCCCAAGTGTTCATGTGTAGCCAGATGAAGAGTTAGATAGCCTGATTTAGAACTCACTCCATGTTACAGCTGGCAATTCAGAGCTAGCCTTAGGGGTGGGTGATGTGGGCAACTGCCCAGGGCGCCATGATCAGGGAGACACCAAACACACATACACACACAAGCAGCCCACACTTACAGAAGTGCTCCACCACTGCCCTGCCCCAGGCATGAGGAGCAGTGCCTGGCCTGCCCCTCCTTCAGCCACTGCTCAGGAGCTGCCAGATTGGGCACATGCAGGTGTAGTGGTGCCTGCTCCAAGCTGCTTGCCTTGCTCCTCCACAGCAGCTGCTGTGCCTGCCACCTGCCTGCCTGGTGCACCATGCCACTCCACCTCCCTGCCAGACTGCACCCTCTGCCTCTGCCTGCAGCAATGCTGCTGACCTGGAGGGGGTATATTTAAAGATTCATGTTAAAACAAGAAACACTCTGATGAAACAGCTATAGTGGGGGTGGGAGGGTGGAGAGGGATATGCCTTCAGATGA